GGGTTTCTCTGTGTAGCTTTGCGCCTTTCCTGGAACACACTTGGTAGACCAGGCTGGCCTCGAACTCACAGAGATCCGCCTGGCTCTGCCTCCCCAGTGCTGGGATTAAAGGCATGTGCCACCACCGCCCAGCGGCATTTGGCTTTTGAGAGATGATAAGGACGCTGACTTCCTTGACACACTGAGTGGCCATCATTTAGGGCTTTGGTGGTGGTCTCTTTCTTTTCATTTACCTGATGGTCCTTGGGTATTTCCATCCCATCTTTCTCCCGACTTTTTCCCCAAGTTAGGATCTTATTATATGTAGCTCTTGCTGGCCTAGAACTCACTGTGTTGACCAGGCTGCGCTTGAACTCAGAAAAAACCTGCCTGCATCTCTATTCCCTGAGTGCTGGCATTGAAGGCTTGTGCCGCCACAGCTGGTCTCATCCTCATTTCCTGAGGGCTATCAGCAGCTGTACCTTACCTTCAGTTTTTAAATCACTCTTGTCTCCATGGCTGGTACGTCTTTGTTTCCTGTCTCTTGCTGTGGTTCGATTCCTAGATGTAGATGTTATCTTCTGCGTTAGTTGGTAACTTACCACCCCACCACGCTCTTTCCCACTCCATCTGGAAACACATTTTTTTGGTGTATAGGACACTCAGATCTGCCTCACACACTTCTCAAATACTGGAAGTTCTCACTCTGTAGAGGCCCAAGGTGAGGAGGTCGGTGGAGGCCGAGGAGGCTGTAAGTGATCACAGGTCTGGGTGTCACACTGCATGATCTCCTGCTTGTGTGTATTTATTAAGTAAATCAGAAAAGATTTTTTCTCAATATTATAAAAATATTTTTAATTGCATTAAGGCTAAAAAAAAATAGTACAATAATGCCAGGTGGTGGTGATGAACACCTTTAATCCCAGCACTCAGGAGGCAGAGGCAGGAGGATCTCTGTGAGTTTGAAGCTAGCCTAGTCTACAGAGTGAGTTCCAGGACACTGGAGCTGTTACACAGAAAAACCCTGTCTTGCAAAAACAGACAAACAACCTCCCCAAAATCTAAGTTTATTTTTAAGTGTGTGGGGGCGGGTTATGCATGAGTACTGTGTCCACAAAAGCCCGAAGTTGTTGGATCCCCTGGAACTAGAGCTGCAGGTACTCAGGGACCACCTGACTGGGTGCTAGGAACCCAACTCAGGTTGTCCAGAAGAGCAGCAAGCACTCTCAACCACTCTTCAGTTCCTCCTCTTATCTGTTATTACTTGTGTGTGTTTATGTGTGTGCACACATGTATGTTTACACACGTGTGGAGGTTGACTTTGTCTTCGTGGATCATTCTTCATCCTTTCTATTGAGGTTCCTTGAACCTAAAGCTTGCAGATTTGGTGAGTCTAGCTACCAGCGTGCTTCCAGGATTTCCTTTTTTATAAACTCCTGAGACAGGGTTTCTCGGTGTAGCCCTGGTTATTCTGGAACTCACTCTGTAGACTGGGGTGGCCTTGAACTCAGAGATCCACCTGCCTCTGCTTCCCGAGTGCTGGGGTTAAAGGCGTGTGCCACCACTGCCCAGCTGCTTCAGGGATTTCTTGTGTCCAGATTCCAGCAGTAGGGTTCCAGGCAGGCTGCCATGCCTACATGGCGTTTATGTGGATGCTGAAAATTCGAACTCTAGTCTTCATGCACATGACGAGTGCTTTCCCTGAGCCGTCTTCACAGCTCCAAGCATCCTTAAAAAAAGAAATTTCTGTGTGTGTTTTGTGTGTGTGTGTGTGTGCACGCGCGTGTGCACCACATACAAGCCTAGTGCCCATAAAGGCCAGAAGAGGTCATTTGATCCCCTGGAACTGGTGTTAACAGATGCTTGTAAGGCACCATGTGGGGGCTGGCAACTGAACCTGGGTTCTCTGCAAGAACAGCACCCCAAATGTATATACTCGTACATAAAAAGAAAATCACTTACTGTAAAACTGTATGTGTTCTGTTTCGTCAGCAGCCTCGCACTTTGAATTGACTGTGCCTGATCATTTCCTCTTTAGCTTGATTTAATCTTGTGTTATTTTGTTTATTGTGGCCACAGGAGCGATGGGTTGTACTAGATACACAATGTATAGCCTAGGTGTGTTCCAGGCTATAACATCTAAGCTTGTGTGAGTACAAATTTATGGTGTTCACATAGTGACAAAATAGTGTAATGGCAGGCATACTTCTTGTAAAACATACATACCCCGATATACATCTGTAAATTAGAGACACGATAACTCCCGCCTTAAATATCTCAGCCTGCATCTCATATGAATGAAATATTTTTCTAATTACAATACTATAATCACATCTAAGAACTTGGATAAAGCTTCATTCAGACGTTCTATAGAGAGACCAGTGAACATATGGGAAAGCAGTATGGCACAGCAGTGTCATGTAATCAAGCCGTTTGTAAACAGAGGGCTTTGTTTTCTCAATGTAGAATAGTACAGTCTTTGAAATCAAATACCCAGACTCATATTCTAGCTGAGAAAAGTAGAATGTCACTGATGCAAAAGTGAAGTTCTTTCCTCGAAGAGATAAGGGCTGGTTTATTTTGCAACCAAATATGATAACCCTAGTCTAAGGAACATAGGTTCAGATTTCCTCAAACAGCGCATCACACTATGGGGAAGGTTCCAGAACAAAGACATTTATAAATCCAAGTCTCTACCAAATACATTGGTGGAAGCCACAGTTAGGCGGCTGGTGGTGAGCCAAGTGGGGGAATATTCTGCTATAGGTTTCTGATGCTATTTGATGACATTCTTGATTTTGGGTTGGTGAAGCTGGTGGTCTGCCGAGAATACATTGTAAGGTTCAATAGTCAGAAGAATGTTAGGGTAGACACTGGTGTGGGCAACAGATGTATGTCAGGGGACTAGAAACATGCCAAGATGATCTGGTTCTGGTCTGCAGCATTTTTACTCCTCACCGTCTTTGAGTTCAATCATTTGGCCTTGTAGACTCTTGAACATGGGTGCACAGACAGCGTTTCTCCACACTCTGCATCCTCCTCGGCATCCTCCGCCACCTTCCTTCTGCTTCTTCTTCTTGGGTCTTCACAGTCCCCCTGTTGGCCAAGCATCACATTTTGTGCATGCCAAGGCCCAGTATTGTTTCTGTCCTGTGGTGCTGGGAAGACTTGTTCCTAGAATCGGGTAGAAATGAGGCTGAGTAGGCATGGAAGCAGTCTGCAGGAGAGAGAAAAAATTGGTAAGATTTTTAAGGAAGAAATCCCTGGATCCTATCACCGAATCTACCAGCCATGATCTGAGTCTGGTTTTGTTTCTCTTTTTCACCCCTGTATCCGACATAATGTTTATATGTGATATATAATAGACTGTAACACCTAGAATTAAAATAATAAAGAACACAGTGTGGCCTAAAGAAGCAAAAGTATTGGATGAGAAAAGCAAGCATTTTAACCAGCCAAAGAATCCCTGGATGTCCCCATTCTCCTTAGCCAGCCTGAGTGCCTGACTCCCCACACGACGGTCTTCTCCCTTATGAATTATTTTATAATAACCAAGCCAGGGTCCTCTGGAAGAGCAGCAGGTTCTCCTAACTATTGAGCCATCTCTCTAGCCCCCATCTTTAGTTTTGATATAACCTCTAAGAATTTTAAATTGCGTTTCCATTTTTTTTTTTATCATCTTTTAACTTAGATGCAGTTCTATGTAGTGGTCTTATAAGTTTTGTAAATTACTAATTTTATTATTTATTTTTAAAGATGATTTAAATGCCAGTTGAAGCAGATTCATATTTATGATTTAAAAAGGTTTTTTTTTTTTTTTTTTTTTTTTCTAATTGAACTGGGTGTGGTGTATATCTTTAATCCCAGTACTTGGGAGTTAGAGGCAGGAGAATCTACTTAGTGTGCAAAATAAGCCAACTTAGAGGTCAATTTAGCAGGTCTGGAGAGATGCCCAGTGGTTAAGAGATTTGTTGCACTTGTAGAGGACCTGAGTTTCATTCCCAGCCCTACACGATGTCTTACAACTACCCATAATCCCAGTTCTGCTGGATCTTGCGATTTGAATTTACATGCTGGAATCAACTAGCTGGAATACCAAGTAATCTGTTTTTTCCAAACATTTCCCTTTACTTTAGATATGGAAGGAGTGTCAGGGGGAAAAAAAGACTCCCAACAAATGATCAGACCAAACCATTGCTAGAAACCAAATGCCTTCTGGATCTAGAGCAAACAAACAGGGCAGAAACTTAAAAACTTTCAAAACAAACAACACTTTGTGAGCAAATAAAACCAGATAGTCAACAAATGGGATTCCAAGAACCAGTTCAGAATAAACAAATGGATGAGCATCCAAAGCAGAGGCCAGCCTAGAGGGACTCATCAGTAGCTGCCAGAGGAGGCAATACAGGATGCTTAGATGCAGGGTCCTCATTGTGGGATTTTTGTTTTGTTTTGTTTTTTAAGCAAAATCTGAGGCTAAAAATGTAGCTCAGTTGGTACGGTGCTTGCCTAGCATGTATGAAGCTGGTGTTAATGCACAGCACTGCATGAAAACAGGCATGGTGGTACATGCCTGTCATCCCAGGAAGGTAGAGGCAGGAGGATTAGGAATTCAAGTGTTAATCCCACTGATTGTGAAGTAGATCACTACCACAGTTCAAAGTCAAACTTGAAGCAAGCTTTAATTAAATACTGGCCAGGTGGATGGGCACTGGCCAGGTCCATACCCAGGTTCCTGGAAAATGGCCCCGAATTAAATATTGCAAGGGCTTAAGGAGGAAAACCCATAATTCATTGCATTTCCCACCAGGTACAGTCAGGGTAAGTGTACATCCTGATGTGTTTCCTGCCTACACACCTCCCGCCCACATGTGATCAAGCACATCCGGTATAGATGGGTCAAACAAACCTGTTTAGGGGAGTGAAAACATGTGGCTTGTTATCTCCCATAAACAACAGTCTCCAGCATTTCAGGAACTCTCTGTCCTTGGGCAAGGAGTTTGCAGACCAGAGGCATTGTTGGTTCATGAATCTCTTAGGCATAGTAATTAAAACTTAAAATGTAAGGTTGGTTCTCACACAAGGTCATTCCTGGGTTCACAGCAGTTTTGAGGCCAGCCTAAATGACACGAGACACTGTCCAAAAAGAAAGAAAGAGAGAGGGAGGGAGGGAGGGAGGGAGGGAGGGAGAGAGAGAGAAGAAAATCTTACTGAAAATGCTATATTGGGTATGGTGGCGCCCATTTGCAGTCTGAGCACATGTGAGGTTTAGGAGGAATTGCAGGTTCAAGGCCAGCTTGGGATATAAGGTGAGTTCCAGATCAGCTTGGGATACATCATTGGATCTTGTCTTTAAAATAAATTTTAGAAGGGGAATCAGAGAGATGGTCCAGTGCTTGCTAATACCACGAGGACCAGAGTTCAGATCCCAGCACCACGTGCCAAGCAGCTGTCCTGTGTACCTAGATCATACCAGCTCCAAAGTGAGGCGGAGGCAGGAGGGTTGCCGGGGCTCACTGGCTGCCAACCCGGCTGAGAAAGTGTGAATGCCATGCTCGGGGGAGACTGCCTGAAGGAACAGACAGACAGTAATAGGAGGCATTACCCAGTACTTTCTTCTGGCCTCTACCTGTGCTTAGGCAGCATGCCTTCAAACGTGTGCACACACGCATACAAAAATGCTTTTTAAAAAGTTTAAAAAGTAAGAAAAGAGAAAATACTTACTGAATAACATGCATTGCTTTTTATCAGTGGCTCTCACCCTTCCTAATGCTGTGACCCTTTACTACAGTTCCTCATGTCGTGGTGACCCCCAACCATAAAATTACTTTGTTGCTACATCATAACTGTAATTTTGCTACTGTAATGAATTGTAATGTAAATATTTGTTTTTTTCTGATGGTCTTAGACGACCCCTGGGAAAGAGTCATTAGACCCCAAAGGGTCCTTGTAACCCACAGGTTGAGAACCACCGCTTTATATAACTCACTTCCCAAGCATCTTGGGAGTCAGAGAAATATACTTCAGAAACAACTGGTCCAAAGTTGCCCTTTAGCTGATGAAGTAAAGTTCAGGGTGAGATGGTTTCCCTATCTGTCTCTGACATTAAATACTGAGGCAGTGTCGACATTCTGAGAAAAGTGATCCTGACACTGCTCAGCTGACCACCTGCAGATAGATGTGACATCAGTGGAGGGTCTGAAGACGAGCGCGTAGCACATTAGGGACTGGTGTGGTCCTTTCCCCCCCAATGCCACACTTAGTAAGCTGCTGGGCTGGCAGGATGGCTCAGCAGGTAAGGGTGCTTGCCTGGGGAAGCCTGGCAACCTGGGTTTGATTGCTGGAACAAAAAGTACTCAAGTGACGTTTTTGATCCTCACTTCTCGCTTGCTGCCCGTTAGGAAGGCGAAGCCGTTGACATGGATGGAGAGACCGCAGCTATCTTGAAGAACTCACGTTTTGCTCCACAGTTTCTCTTCACACCTGTTGGAGCCGAGCTGCTGGCTGCCCAGGGCTGTTCTGGATTAGAAACAAAGGTTAGTTTGACTTTCAGTTCCCTACTTCAAACAGGGCCCTTAAGACAACCACAGACTCCAGGCTCTGCAGAGACATTAGGTTTCTTTGCTGCTGGCTTCCACAGCTGATACATAGAAATAATTGGATTTGATGTGACAAATTCTTTTTATTTAAAGATTTATTTTTATTTTATGTGTATGGGTGTTTTGCCTGCATGTATGTCTGTGCACTGTGAATGCCCTGGAACTGGAGTTACAGACAGTTGTGAGCTGCCATGTGCGTGCTGGGGATCAAAGCTGGATCCTCTGGAAAAGCAGCCAGTGCCCTTAACCCCTGAGCCATCTCTCCAGCCCCTAAATTCTTTTTCCCCCTTATTCTTAGCAAGTCAATAATAAATCATCTCTGAGTTTTGGGAATACCTGTGAGTTAACTGAATGGAAGGTACCTGTAAGTCCTCTACAATTGTGTTTGTGTATATGCTTTCTGGGAAACTGTCCAAAGGGCCCAGATACAAAAAGATTCAGAGTTACCACACGAACACACTACATGCTGGACCCAGTACCACATATCCATAACTCTGCTGACTAAAAATAAGGGGGAGCATTACTTGAATCCAGGAGTTCAAAACCAACGTGGGAAACAAAGGAAGACCTTGTCTCAAAAACAAAACAAAACAAACCCTAGCCCCAGGTGAACATTATAAACAGCCTATACCAGTTCCTTCTGGTAATCGCCAATGCTAAGATAAAATTAAATAATTCTTACCAATTTAACCACTTAGAAAATTGAAGAGATTTTTAAAGCTATTATTATTTGATTTTATTTCTGTGGGTATTTTGTCTACATGTCTGTCTGTCTGTGCACCACGTTTGTGCCTGGTGCCTGCAGAGGCCAGAAGAGGGCATCCAGTTCCTCTGGGACTGGAGTTTTAGACAGTTATGAGCTGCCATGTGGGTGCTGGGACTTGAATCTGTGTCCTCTGGAGGTGCGGCCAGTGCTGAGCATCTCTCCAGCACTAAAAACGATTTTTAACATTTTTAATTAATTAATTTATGTTTATTAGTGTGTTTTTAACATTTTTAATTAATTAATTTATATGTTTATTAGTGTGTGCACTGTAGGATGTTCTGTATGGCAAATGTGTTGCTCTGATTGGTCAATAAATAAAACACTGATTGGCCAGTGGCTAGGCAGGAAGTATAGGCGGGACTAACAGAGAGGAGAAAAGAAAGAACAGGAAGGTAGAAGGAGACACTGCCAGCCAACCGCTTGCCAGGACAAGCAGCATGTGAAGATGCTGGTAAGCCACGAGCCACGTGGCAAGGTATAGATTTGTAGAAATGGGTTAATTTAAGATATAAGAACAGTTAGCAAGAAGCCTGCCATGGCCATACAGTTTGTAAGCAATATAAGTCTCTGTTTACTTGGTTGGGTCTGAGCAGCTGTGGGACTGGCGGGTGACAAAGATTTGTCCTGACTATGGGCAAGGCAAGAAAACTCTAGCTACAGCGTGTGTGTTTTTAACGTTTTAAATTAATTAATTTATAAGTTTATTTGTGTGTGTGTGTGAGTGTGTGTGAGTGTGTGTGTATGAGTGTGTGTGAGTGTGTGTGTGTGAGTGTGTGTGTGTGAGTGTGTGTGAGTGTGTGGGAGTGTGAGTGTGTGGGAGTGTGTGTGGGAATGTGTGTTTGAGTGTGTGTGTGTGTAGGTGTGCAGTGGTCAGAGGATGGCTGTGGGAGTTGGTTCTCTTTTTCTATCACATGGGGTTTAGAGATTTGAACTCAGGTCACCAGCTTTGACAGTGAGCACCTTTACCTGCTGAGCCCTTTCATTGGCTCCCCATTTTATGCTTTTCTTTGTTGTTGTTGTTTTTTGAGACAGGGTTTCTCTGCGTAGCTTTGCGCCTTTCCTGGAGCTCACTTGGTAGCCCAGGCTGGCCTTGAACTCACAGAGACCTGCCTGGCTCTGCCTCCCGAGTGCTGGGATTAAAGGTGTGTGCCACCACCACCTGGCAATTTACACTTTTAGAAATAGTAACTCGGTGGCATTTAGTTCACTCACAAGGTCGTACAGTCATTAACACTCTCCGCTTCCAGAACTTTCAGTACCTCATACCCGTTGAACAGCGATTTCCAGCCCTCTTCCCACTGGCTCTCAGTGGCCGATTGGCTTCGACTCTGGTTCTGTCTCTTTTGGACATTTCACATGGCCAAACTCATACGCACATGGCCTTCTGTATCCGACCTTTTTCACCTGTGTTTCCAAGGCTGCTTCTTCAATGGGAGCATGCATCAGAGCTTCACTCCTCGGGGTAGAGCTAGAGCACATTTGTGTATCTGTCCTCCACTGGATGTGTCGGCCTGCTTCTTGGAGACGATAAATAGTGCTATCAGGAACATGGATGTGCAAATACTTGCTTGAGTTTCTGCTTTCAAAGATTTTGCATCTATACCTAAGAACGGAATTGTTTTGTCTACATTTCTAACTTTTGGTGGCTTTTGATGTTGGTTGTTTCTTTGTTTTTGAGACAGGATCTCACTGTGTAGCCCTGGCCAGCCTGGAACTCAGTATGCAGACCAGATGGCCTTGAACTCACAGAGATCCACTTGTTCCTGCCTCGAGAGTACTTTGATTAAAAGGAATGTGCTACCACATCCGGGCATATTCCTAGCGTGTAAAGAACCACCGAGCTGTTTTCCACAGTAGCTGCACCACTTTGTATCCCAGCCCCGTCGCCGGAACACAGCAGTCCTGTTGCTGGTCACCACAGGTGGCAAGAGCAGGGACGGAACTGAATCTCTACGTTGTGCTTCTGCAGAAGGCAGGTGATCTGAGAAGGCAGGTGATCTGAGAAGGCCATGGCCTGATACCCTGAAAACTGCCTTCCCTTATCTACAGCCAGCGGTCTCAGCAGAGCAGGGGGAGCAACGGCGGTCATTCCCCAGCGTTCCCTCCCTCTTGTCAGGTGGCCAGCCTTGTCCCTGAGATCTGTGATGGCAGTGCCTCCGTCCTTATCAACACCTCTTACCCTCTCCCCTTGTCCTCCGAACAGTTGGCCACGTCTAGGCACTTTCTTCCTTTATTGTCCTTGTCTCCTCCAGGGCCATCTGGCCTAGGGAGATAACTCAGAACAAACAAGCCACTAGCAAGAACAGGTCCCTGCACACTCCTTTCTGTCACACGAGGTGCAGATGTGCCCTCAGAATGTAGACTCTAAAGGTGTTCTCTCCCGCCTCTCTGGGCCCGTCGTGAGTAGGAACCCCTGTGAGTCTGTACTGATGGGCAGTAGCTCTCCGCTGCTGTGCAGCCTCGAGGTGCCATGGCTTCTCACCAGGACGGGAGCTTTCCAGACGAAAGCTGTACACACCAGTGCCCACCCTGTGCCACAGCAAGCGGTTCTGCTAAGAAAGATTTTTAAGAAAGGAAAGCTAGGAAGGCTTCCCGGATACTGGAAGGGTCAGGAGCCAGGAGGCAGGAAAAGACAGACGGGAACTGAAGAAACTGG